TCTTCTGGATACTATGAAGTAATATATGGAGCTTGTGGTGCCAAACGGCACATACTTTATCACATTATTTCTAACTTGCAATTTTCGGAAATTAAGAGAGTTCAACGAAAATTAAACCGAAATTTTTCCATGAATAAAACAAGGGACGCTTAAAAGAATTGCGCAGTTCTCATATTCGAAAATTGAATATTGGAAATAATGCGCGAGGCAATTAGCATTTTAATTGTCGTCTCTAGTTGGTACGTCAGGACGTCTGTTTGGTGTAGAGGTAAGGTGCAAGGCGTGTTAATTTGGTAGACAAGAGTTCGAGTCTTGGCGCAGAAAAAAATTGCTAGTTGAAAACACTTGTGCATGTTCATGTAGTAGTAAAACATTGCGGAGTAGTTACAAATAATGAGAAAGTATGTGCTGTTGGGGCACCTAGTTTAATTTGTAATTTCGATGCTCTGAATAAAGATTCAATGAAAACAATATATACACGGAAACAATTTTCAATCTATGTACTTTTATTACAAAATACAATATTTTAGTTACATTGTTTATGGTAAAGGGGGATGAAAAAGAACACCTGCAATCGGTCCAAACTGGAATTCTGGTTGCCTAATTTGGATTCATAGTTTCCTAAGATTTTTTTCAAAAGTAGTGCACGTTCGATTATGAACAACTTTGGAGACCCTAGACTGTTGATGATAATGTTAATACAATTTATGCACACAATGAAGGAAACTAATTGTGCTACAGCAATACGTACTTTCTCGTCCGTATTTTCTCACAAAATTAGGCGAAAAGTAATTTCCATGCTGTATTTCACAGACCAGAGAAGCCAACATTTGGAAATTTTGAAAATGCCGTTAGGGATTCACATTGCTTACCCCCAAAATTAGAAGATCTGTTTTGAATTGGAAGGTCCGATAAATCGCCCCGATCAATTGGAGGATATTGTTTTCACCAAAATCTTTGTAGATATTGGCACTTGTGGTGTTCGAAAACAGACCTTTTGAAAATAAATATATTTTTATGTGTCAAGAACCCTCAAAACTCCCCTCTTTTTTCTCAATAATTTACAGGATAACTGTGCATCTATTTAAATCAAATTGTAATTGGCATCGTCTATATAGGAGAGGAAGTACAAAACTTTTAACATGTTTTTTTGTCTGTCACCGTGTTCCACATAGGGATAAAGAAACTACTCGAAAAGCCTTAACGTTCAAAATAACAATCATGAGAGAATTACTTCCATGATATTTTTAATTTCTAGTGTTTTGTTTTAGTTTTCAGTTTTCTCCCGTAAATTATGAATTTCTTTATACCATTGGTTGATAAATTACTAAATCATTTGTCAATTCTAATGTAGTCTACATCTTTTCTAGACAGTTAAAGAGAAGGAACGATTTTACTCATTTAATAATAGTGAATGATATCAAAGTGCATTCTAGAAAAAAAGCGCTTGATAAATTTGTTCTGTCTAAAATTGACAACTGTAGAAAAATATTACAGATGATAACTACTTGCGAAAAATTAGGAATTGCTGAACGTATTGTTACTTTGAAAAGAAAATACCTACATTATTTTAAAAGAGATTATTTCCGGAGTGTAGCCCTTTTGCTTTCCGGAATCCTGCATGTTCACATTCATGTTGACTCTGATGTTCTGTTCGTGCAAACAAACGCGGATTAATAGTCTCAGCGGAAACGTTACAGGTGCACCTTTGAATACGTTTCCAACAAATTACTTCTCATCATGTTGCTCTGAACGTCACTCAGTCCTGAGGCAACATCGAGTTAATTGGAGTTGTATGCTTTCGCTGCCAGTCAACACCACGAGTACGAACCTGTGTGTAACCTGTATTTACAGCTGATGACTTCTATTATTTATCTGAGTTTGATGTTGGTTTGATTCGCTGGGCTTGGTAGGAAAAGTGATGCAGTTAGAATTTTTTCCCGTTTTCTGTATTTAAATATGAATAAGTTATGTAATAAATTGAAAAGTAATGTACCTAAGTGGAAGAAAGACATTCTTTATTTTTCTGTGTGGTATTTAGAATTTATACCATAGAAAACAGACGGTATAAAAATTTATTTTATAATAAAAAATATATCCAAATAGAAATAATTTTCAAATAATACGTGTTCGTCAACGCGGTTATTTTATGGTTTCAAACTTCATAAACCCATTTTTTAAAAGTATTTTTTGATGAATTTTTTACCTGTGCATAGTATAATTCAAAACGTTCGAATGTGAATGAATCACCAATTGTTAATAAAGTCGATTTGGTCATTGTGTACAGATTATTTTATAAAAATCTTACTAACCGAAAGGGGTGTTTTAATTTACAACGTGATACGAGACTAATAATTGTACACTTCTTTCAAATGGTCGCACGTGTAAATAATGAAAGCTATCGAATTATCTACGAATGTGCGTGCCTTTGAAAAAAGTGTAATCGCCATTGGCAAGCCCACTTCTCTCCCACACCCGGCTCTTTGTCACCTGCCAGGAATAGTTGTTGGGGCTATTCGCGACAATGAAAAGCGGTGGGGTATTTATACTCTCTTTCACAGTGGAAATGCAAGCGGTGAAACATTTCGGCGTCACAGGTACGATTAGTCCATTACGGTGGAAATCGACAAGCGCTTTGACTGTAGCCGCGTTGCCGCCACTCACGCCGCCTCGACTCTATCCTCCATCCCTTCCACCGCCATCGCCACCGCTCTCGGGAGTACCGCCCCTCCGTGCATCTCCCGCATGTCCCTCCGCTCCCCCCCCCCCCGCGGTCCTCTCTCCACCATCCGGTTGAAGCGATTGAAAAATATTTTCGTGTTACCGGGCGCGTCAACTGCTGTGATTATGAGTCCCGTAAGTTCAGTATGTTTTATCTCGGGAGGTGGCGTAGTTTTTCACTTGCTGGTTGGTGAGATCCGGCGCCGACCTACATGACTGCTTGCTGTGTTTCCCCCATCCAGGTATCTCCCACCACCGGGGAACCGCCCCAGACGAAACTAGCTCTTAGCTCCCGTATTGTAGTGCATGTGAGTGTAAGCCTGAAAGTATGTGTAAGTAAGGATCGCGGATAGGATGGGTAAGAAGAAACGCTCGCGGTGCGGGTTTTAAGGTACCCACTTCTTCGGCATTCGCATGGCATTAATCGGGGACACTACGGAAAACTACCGAATAGAGCAGCCTGCCGCCAGAATTCTCATTCAGACAGCGACAAAACTTGACATAGCTATCTGGCTAGTGTCGAAAAATCCGCGACCGTCCGCTCTCGAACCGTAGACCCACCCGCTCAGAGGCACTGCCGTGGCATCAGTCCGAATCCTGAGCCATCTCAGCCGGTGCATTCAGTTGAACTCGCCGCCTCCTCGCCCTCCACCGCCGCTGCTGGTCCAGTTGTTGCTACCGCCGCCGCCTGCACAGCCATCACGGGTCCATTTGCAGATCAAAGCAAATGCTACACGGCTCTCATCGCCCGCAATTCGTTGTGGGGAGTATGTGGCGTCGGCGTGGCAACTAGACAGCGTGGATTCGGCGCTGGGACGGTGTGTTGCGTGGGCAGATGTATGCGGCGTTTGAGTGCGAGGGGGATGAGGGGCGGCGCGGGGCGGCGCGTGGTGTGGAGGGCGTTGGGAGCGAGGGGAACTCCGCAAACCGACGTGTAGGACGGCCGACGTGTAATCGGCTCTCGCGCTTCAGCGAGGATGAACACAACCACCTTCCGTGATATAACGTGCACTACACTGACGGGACATATGCTTTAAGGACTTGTGGTTCCCGTAAGCAGTACTTACTCCCTACCACCATTAATGCATGTTCTTAGCAGTTTGAGTAGTTTGTAAAAAAATAAATGAAAAAAACAACAACAAATCAATAAAAACAACTAAGAGCGGAGTTGAGGAAGAGGGTGCGTGGGCGCTCGGGACGACGCGCATGCGACACCAACACGCGCCACACGCCAGCGAGAGTTCGCCCGTGAGTATTTTCGCTGCGATGAGCACACAATGAATAATTCACGTACAGCTGCCACCGGAGTTGAGTCGTACGCGGATGAGTTCTAGGGACGTTACATTCACCCGTCCCGTAAGAGAAACTGAAAGATGCCCCTGGGGGTTGTGGGGGATCTCCAGGGCTCGGAACTCAGTGGAGGAAACTCAGTAGAATATACAACTGTGTATCCCCTTAGTTAATATGATGTAGCAAGTAAGTCACAATTAATTTTTTTGAATGTTTTTCACTAAGTGTGTTTAGAGATCTGGACGTCAAAGGAAGTGGTGTTGGCTGGAGAGTTGGTCTTTAGTCAAGTGTGTTACACATTTTAGAAAAACAAGTAAACTGTAACGTTATTCATTTATTACAATAACAACAAAGTCAATTTATTACAATAACAAAGTTATACAAAGTGCAAGTAATCCAAGAAATGCCTAGCGCTATCCAGTTCGTCCGTGCTACCAAACGAGATACAAAATAGTTGTCAAACTACTGTCAGATGTACATTGAATGGTCAAAAATTGTTATTCATTTAAAAACAATACTCACTATGAACTGAACAACGCTCATTAAAAGCATTCTATTTGGAAGTTCCAAAAATCAAAGTTTCATTTCCATGTAGCTTTGAATTCATTTTATTTTTAAAATGGCTCTGAATAAGCATTTTGATGTGTTGTCATGTTCATTTCTTTTATAGAAACCTATTAAAAAGAGGAAAAAGAAGACTGTTCTTTGTAACAAATATCTGCCTTTGAAAGAAGAGTAGCATTACTCTTTGTTGAGTAAATACCTTCGCTGCTGAACTGAAATAACACAGTAAGTATGTTTATTTTTGAGACTTCATTTCAAATTGAAGTTTCTCAAGTATTAAAACAAAGCAAGTGAAACATTCATATCACAATTAAATTAATTAATAGTTAGATTGAAATGGATTTCCATATTCAGTACATTCATTCAATGAACATAATATTTGTCAATTTATGTAAATACGTTAGTTTTCATTTCATTTGTTGCAGATCAAGGAAAGGACAACCTTTGAAGTTCCCATTACTAGGAAAAATTCCATTGATGAAATGTTCTTTAAAAGGTTATGCCATTCTTAGTTTTAATAGATTTTGAATGCAATGTATTTAAAATGAAGTTCAGCAAGTAGTATCACGCCATGACTTGTATTTGGCGATCAGTACCTCATGGAATGGCCGTTATTTGTCACAAGTAATGATGGCTGATACGACCTGGTCGTGGTAATCTAATCATGCACAATAAAGTTTTGGCAGAGGTTTCAACTGACTTTGCCAATGATGGTAATACTCATTTTATATTCATAGTATTAACATTTCAAATAAAATAATTTCAAAGCATTTTTGCGTTTGTTTTAAATCAAACGTAATAGTAATAATAATAATAATAATAATATTAATAATAATAATAATAATAATAATAATAATAATAATAATAATGTCTTTATTAATGGCGAGGCTCAGGCCATAGGGCCTGCTCTTCCGCCTAACCACTGAATTTACATACATTTAGAGTAGTAAGATTTTAAGAGGGGAGGACAAGCTGTACATTTACGTCTGGGAGAACAAACCTAGGGACCATCCCGGCATACGCCTTAAGCGATTGAGTAAACCCAGAAAAACCTCAATCAGGATGGCGGCTTAGGGCCGAACGTATGCCATACATTGAATATCACAAGAAAACTATTGTTATAAAGTAAATACGTTCTATTTTATTCTTACGTTAACATAAAAATCAATTCAATCTTCATATGCCCTTTACTGATTTCCAAAGCACACAGACATTGAAAACTACGCAGCACTCGGCCATGTGAGAGGAGTCTACGAATATGTTAGTTACTCAAGATGACGCTACTCAGTAACTCAAGAAAAATTTTAAAAAACACACAATGAAAGTGTTTCGATTTTGATTGAAAAAGTAAAATATTTGATTCTGATAACGCGCCTATTCTCATACTGTGCGAACCGACTGAATTATCATACTCAACCAGCTCACATGGCTTAGGGCATCAATTGATGTCATCGCAGTGCCTGTTAAGTAGAGGTCGTAGTGTTCAAGGGTTTGAGTCCCGACGGCGGAAGGATTTTTGACTCTAGCTAGGTCGAATACAGCCGCTGCCTGGAGGAGAATTCTAATGGCGGGGTGCTCTGATCGGTAGTTGTTGTTTTTTTCGTTCAACACCAGGCGAATGCCGGAGCAGTACTCTAACAAACGGGCCCGAAGCGCGCGATCTCTCCTTCCAGTTCCTTCCCTATCCTCACTCCTCACCCACACGCACATGCACTACACTACCACACATGTCGAAAGACCAGTCGGGAGCTTCAAGCTTGTCCCGGCGGGAGCGGTACCTCGCTGTAGGAGATACCTGGGTGGGGGAATCCCCGCGAGCCGATGTGTAGATGGGCGCCGATTTCGCCATCCAGTGGGGGAAGACCACCGACACCTAAGCATTACATTTACGGGACATTTGTGACTTTAGTTGTTGCACTCAAAAACACTGATCAACCTTGTTCGGTCCTCACGACACAGCTGACAATATGGCCACAAAACTCCAAAGTAGAGGCCGCCCACCATTAAATATTTGCTATTCACGTGTTGTGTTATGGAAAAGCAACCACGTGATGTGTTATGGAAAAGCAACTTTTTAATATTCTTGGTCAGTAATGATGTGTTGTATATTAAACCCTGTATGCCACAATCTCTTATTGTAGTAATTGTGAAGACTGTTTTTGTTAAACTATGTAATTTATTGTATAAATTTTCTACGAGAGTATTAAGGGTAATTGCATTTAGCATACGAGGATATTTTATTTGTTCTTGTGCAGTGCTTCTCCTACTTTCTAGGAAACCATTTTGTGTGGTTTTGATCAGCAGCATTTTTACTGCTGTAATCCACTATTTTATGTTCTAAAATGGAAGCACCATCTTTCAATTTTTGATACCCCGTTTCATCTTTGCTGGATAAAGCCCTATTAGTTGTCTTCTAATGATGCATGGGGAAAAATTGAGATTCCTGGTAAATGATTGAATAAAAATAATATATGTTTTGTACTGCTGAGAAAGCGTAATCGAAAGCGAAAGGGTCATGTAATAAAATTATATATTATCGTAGTTCTTAACTAAATATGAAATATCTATGAGAATGATACATTGACATTAGAATTAAATATTTCTAAGAAATAAATTTTAATTGTAATGTACTTCTAAATAATATGAATTTTGTATGTTGTAATTGGGAGGGGTTTAGATTTAATATAGACGTTTTGCAATAAACCGTAACCTAAATTTTGAGTACTCGTACCATTCTCTTATACTGTTATTAACTGTTTATGAATTGTAATATCGAAACAGTGCTAGGAAAAAATATTGTTTAAATAAATGTTGGATGAAAAAATATGATCAAAGAAAATCGTAAACAAACATTATTAATGATACTATTGAAAGATTTTTATCATTATCAGTAAAGTTAATTTAAAAAGGTTTTGTAGTAATATTATTTCATAATGTGATTAAGTTGTGGTTATGTGTCATATTCATTATATACCATTTCTTATTGAAAATATTCGTAAACAATTTATAACGATAGACTGGTGAAAATAGAAGCAACTTGAGGGAAATATTCCAAATTTCACGAGAGCGTTACTGCATTTTAGTGAGGTCTTAAGGCCAGGAGACTAGACTAAATAAACCTCCCCAAACGTGCTCAATTCTTTATCATTCTCTCTGCACGTGAGAATGTGCCAAGAGAGTTGTTTGTTATAAATCAAGGTGCTTCGCAAAGCGTAACAGGATCAGGATACAATCTTGCGACTTCTGCGGTGAGAAAAGCACATGAATAGGGCACACTTCATTTCAAGAACTAATTTATATATTTGAAAAAGGCTTATGCATTTCTTAGAATCACATTGTTTTGCTCAATGACACAAAGGTGCCAAGGTGCTTCAGAGAAAAGTAATTGAAAAAATTACAAATGTAAATTCAAAAACTTTCCTATTCCTATCTCCCGAAAAAAAGTGTTCTATCAATTAATGAGGAAGACTGGTTCACATGTTTTTCGCAAAGAAGGTTTGAAGAAAGGCACCATCCAATCCACCGTGCATACCTGTATATTGCTTATATACTCAGATTGGTGAACGAATAATGGTAATTGATTTTCCGAAAAAGTCTACCTGAAAAGGCGTACATAGATATACGAAACAAGAGGTAAAAGAATCTGAGAAGTTCCTTTTTCTATTTTTTAAATTTAAAAATGTAACTTTCTTGCAGGTAGTCGTATTAAAATCTTCCTTGCTACTTTATAGAAAATGAAGTAATTTATATTATAATGGATTTATTGTGTCAGGGATAACGACAGATTATAAAATCAAATAAATGTATGAAGTTTTTGGATTGTATTATTATTTATTATTATTATTATTATAATAATAATAATAATAATTATTATTATTATTATTATTATTATTATTATTATTATTATTATTATTGGAACCTATTATTATTCAAGAAATTCACGTGCAGTGTCTGCTAAACAACTCTTATTAAAGTAGCTGCTGTTATAAAACGCTCAAGGATATATACAAGTAGTTTGTGACGTAAAAATACCGTTTTTTTCTGTCATTTCGAAATGGTAAATTCAATTTTTCTGTCAAAGTGAAAAACTTTCATTTCTGGATAGCAAATCGTGATTTTTAATTCTAAAGAAAAAACATGGTATCTCATCATTGGCAATTTTGTTATTTGTATTTGTCATTCAGTTATTTAGTCGTACACATAAATGCAAACTAAATGGTTGGGAAATTGGAACCAAATATAATTCCTCTGCAATTTTTTCCTTCAGAGGAGAGAATTGAATCATTACGTCTCGGATATCAGATATTGACCGTGGGCAAGAAAATTGACACATCTAAAAATTGTCAACTTCCAGGAGAATGGTTTTAATGTCACAGTAAATATCTTCTTTACTGATATGCTTTAAAATATTAGGGTGCTGTTAGCTAATTTGTTGGATTGATCGATCGATGGATTAGTGTTTTCGAGCGCGTCAACTGCTAAGGTCATTAGTCCCGTAAGTGCAGTCCGTGTTTTATCGCGGTAGGGGCGATCTTCCCCAGCTAAATGGTGAGATCTGGCTAAATGGTGACCTACTTTCGCCTACCGGGGTCTTTCCTAAACAGGCATCACCCACCAGCGGGGCCCCGCCCCAGCCCGGCCATGCTATGAGCTCCAGATCGGACTCCCGGCACGTGTGGTAGTATTGTGCGCCGGTCCGTGGTCCGTTTGATAGGGTACTGTTCCGGCTTTCGCCTGGTATTAATCGGAAAAATCACAGGAAACTACCTGTACTGATTTTGTACTTCAGCAGTCGTCCGCTAGAATGCTCATCTAGACAGCGATTCTAGCTCGGGTCGAAAACCTTGCCACAGTAGGGACCCGAACCATGGACCTCCTGGTTGGAGGCACAGGAGTGACATCAATTTGATGCCTTGAGCTTCCTCTTTCGTTCCAGGTTGTTGTAGATCTTGCGGAAAAATATTTTTAATTTTGGTGATATTGTCGCATGGAGTTTGTTGTGCTTTAAGCCAATCCAGAAACAAACGAACATACGTAAATTAAGTAAATGCAAGTAAACGAACCTATTACATATTGTTATATTGAAAACTCGAAGATAATTTGGGAAGTGACCTCAACGACGTACAGACTCTTTTCCACCTGCTGGAAAACTGTTGCGGAAAGATGTGGAATGCGTAGATTCCGAGGAATTGTAAAATGCATTTTTTCAGTTTCTTTTCAAATAATAACAATTCTCATATCATTTTACATTGAGAACTTTAAAGTGCCGATAGCGAAAATATACATGCTTTTAAAAAATAAATGTTGTGTCAAAAGCTTGAAAATTACCGTTGCGGCAAACAAAAATTAATGTTACTTCCCTCACATGAAACAAGTTTTGCAAACCACAATTGGATACCTCAAACAGTTTAAGACAAGATATTTCTTGTGTTAAACTTACGTGGTCCAACCTTAATATACCGACTGCCTTGTGGACTAACGTTACGATATTTTCATTAGTTAAAATTTACATTGTATAAACTTATTTTTACTTTAAACATTCTCAGTAAACAAAACATGTTACAGTGTTATCACTGACTTCAATGGCTACAAAAAAGCCTTATTAAGTAAATGCAGTTATCAGGTAAGTTTTGTAAGGAAAAGGGAAAAATGCTAAAATCATATTACAAGGTGGCAAACAATGACCAAATATAGCGCACTTTCTTAATGAATATGGTTGATATAATTTTCTAATTATTGTTTCATAACTATGAACTGTATCTTTTGTATAATTGTGACCTTTGTTTTTCGTTTTCTTGAAAATTACATTGCAATTCACTTCCCAATTTTCACTCCCGGAGACTCGTGAAACAATTTTCATGGAGTAAACATCAAAAAGTGTTGTACCATTTATTTTAAACTTTAACCTTCACAAGTCTAATAAGGCGTTGAGAAAAGACCTCCGCAACTCTTTCCCCAGAATTCCATCCTAAGCCAGCGCGGTCCGCGGCGCCTTATCTGCGAAGAACGTGGCGTCCTGCCCTTCTCGACTCGGCATTTGCGCGGCCTTTCTCCCGAAATTGGACCCCGCCTGCCCGCCCACGTCGATCAGCGACGCTGAGCCGCAGTCTGCTTACCGATACATCTCCGCAGATGCGGCGAAGAAAGCGGCGTTCGCAGACGCCACGCCACGCCACGCCGCGCCAGCCGCGCCACGCCACGCCACGCCGCCCGCCGGGGGAGAGAGAAAGGCGAGGCGACTCTGCGAGGCGTAAAGAAAACGGGCGCCCAAAGGCAAACACAAGTAATGAAATATCGATTTGACTTCGTGGCCCACTCGGTCGACCGCCAAGGAAGGAAAGGGCGAAGCGAGGGGGCGAAGGAGGGAAACGGGGGGAGCGAGGGGGGGGGGCACTGCTGCGTGCGCTGGAAAACGGGAGGCAACATTTTCCAGGGAGTTGCCCGGATTGCTTTATGTGGCAGATTTCCTCGAGTAGAAATTGGTTCTTCTTCCGTGCTCAGCAAACGAATCCCGGGACGGCTTGTGTATTCACGACCCTGGAGAACAGTCACCCGCTCCCGAGGTATTTGTAAACTTCTCGTGCTTCTGTGGGTGGGAATTCCGGGCGGTGCATGAAGCAGCTTGTCGCATTTAGCTCAGAAATCGTTGACGGGGAAGAATGGAAACTGCCAGGAATACATTGTTAGTAATGCACACGCCAAATCCTCACATATCATTACTTCTTAGTTACATATACCATGGCATCGTTGTAAGAATTATGGAATGTAATTATGCCTCAAAATCAGTGGCGTTATGTGTCTGCTGTGCCCGCTAGTTTAGGGATTCGCCTCGAAGTGATTGCTTTTGTACGAAGGTGTGTGGCTGGCGTGAGTTACAGTTGCCCTCCGCATAATTAAATTTCGGATATTGCAGACAAATACAACCTTGTATAAGTTCAGGAAACACGCGAGTGATGAATGAAGAAATGTACTCACGGTCACTTCATCAATGACCTTACTGATATTCTCTAGGCAACCTTGATGTTTTGTAAAGAAAGTCGAACATAATTGAAACTTCACAAAATTTCACTGCAAAAGTAATGATATTTTAAAGTCGCTAAGAAACATGTGCTGTTAGAGGATGTGGCAGTAAATTAAAATGAACATAGAGAATAATGAAAATCAATGATGAATTAATAAATTGATCTGTTACTGATTTAAGGGTTCATTTCGGCCGTTCCAAACGGCCCCTTCTATCCATAGTTTTTCATCAACCATTAGATTATGAGCATTTTTTGTAAAAAATAGTAGTGAACTTATAAATGAAAAACAAATGCATTTTCAGTAATTACCTCTACATTGTGAGTTTGGCGGAAACAAAACACCTGACTACTCAGCAGAAAGAAAGGCAATAATATTTATACACAATTACAAATTACACGACTACCATATGCATTAAATTTCTATTACAGAAAAGAAGTGAAGCTCTTTGCTCAAATGAAAGCATAGTATTTTCATCAACCACCCGGAAATCTGTTAATTTCTTCCGTATCCTGACCGGTTAACACAACTTCCTTGCAGACTGGCATTGAAAAACTAATGTTCTAATATCTTCGTACTGATGTCCACACATGTAACTGCATACCGAGAGGGATACTTTTCTATGGGCTTAGTAGCACAATTTCATTGATGTTAAAAAAGTAGAATTGTGTGGTACGACCCGCCACCTTGCAATGGCGCCTTAGGAATGGGGCAGCACGAAATTCCAAGTTGTTAAACGCATTTAGTAATGAAAAACGAAGAACAATAGGTGAAAATGATGTTGGAGTTTATTACTAAGAAAAAAATAGACTATATCTTTGAAACAAGAAGGTTTGTTAAAGTGTTACGGCAAAAAAATATCGTTTAGAACACATAGATTATGTTTTTCGCATGTCTTGGGACATCTGTATAAGCCATAAATGTAGCTATGCACACGTTTTGATGAGTCCTGTGGTTGCTACTTGTGGCAGGAGTAGAGCCGAGGGACCTAGGTGGCTAGTTTGTTAGCAACACAACAAAATAAAATCTTCTTTTCATTTACCGATGCAAATACTAAGTATACTAGGGTATTAGTGAGAGGTGCAAAATTAATAGTTTTCAAATGGTTGTAATCAAGCTTTGACTGTACTTTTATTCGCACTATATTTAACTACAAATAGTAAATGTGTGGGATATGGAATATAGAGCTCAAGAAAACTTGCACTTATGTACGTCGCATATTGATTTGTACTGTGTTGTGACGAAATAAATGAAATAAATGTAATTACCAATAACATACCACATAAAATATTTCTGAATGTGTTTCATTGAAAATTATTAGCCTTAATAAGAATAAAAAGGTAATTGAAAGTTTCGTTTGAGTTCTTCCATTCAGTTGTCCCAGTTGAAATCAGAATAAACGAATATACGTTGCTTTCGCAAGTTATTTTCGTATTCAAAAACATTCATGCCAGTCGAGTGCTGACCGCCGTGGTGGTCAGACGCTCCGTCCGCTCCGGGCAAAATCACGTTGTGCGGGCGTCTACTGACTCGGTGCTTGTTTGTCACATGTAAAACGTGGTACAAGTTGAGTTATTCTTAAGTGAAGCGATATTGCTTATCGAAGTGAAAAGTTTCTTTTGTTTTTTCGTAACCATCATGGAGCCCTCTCACGTTCATCAATCTTCAGGAGACCAGAACAGTAAGAGTACAATTAATTATGCTAAAATTACTATGCAATCTCTTTCACAAGAAAGAATATGCTATCATCTTAGATTCTGCAAATAGTGCGTGAGTTGTAGAATTTATTGAGAAGTTATCTACCAAAGTTAACCCCTCACCTCAAAGTCAACCCCTTCAAAGTTTGCTTCAAAAACATTGAACAACAGACTGTGTGTTTATCTATGCTGTAAGGAAATCGCAGATGATCTTGTCTTCTATCATAAAGCATCGTTGTGTCTAATCATGTTTTCCCAAT